TGCTTGTGTCTACGACGAATCCTCATTCATGAGCGCTTGATCCACTACTGATTCCTATGTCTTGCATGTAGGTTAGTAAAGCAAAAGAACATGCCAGGCCAATGCTACAGTAAATTATATACAGTACAGATCTAAACACGTTTGTACTTGTGTTAAAATTTCTATAAAGAAAGGTAGGAGGTAAGGTTAGGGATCATATAGTGAGAGAAACAGCTGCCAGGCAAGGGCGGCTCCAAGACGAATCGTAAGAATTTTCATCTCGGTGGGGCCATGGCCCCCTCCCCTGGAGCCGCCCTTGCTGCCAGGTAACAATAGCGCGCTCGGGCCGAGCAGGTATTTTCTGATGCGCTGAGTCATGTATGAGGAGCGGTTAGTCAAACCGCTGTATCTTCGTTAGTTTTGCTCCGATTCATCTCAAATTTTCATACAATATTCTTGAAAGGTTTTCCATTTATAAAATCAAATATAAAAAAATATATTGGTTTCTAAATGTTGTCTGCAGTAGTTAATCCTTTATAATAATAATATTTATTTCTTTCTAAAAATTAAATACAATATTCTTTATAATTTTATAACATAATCAATGGTTTCTTTTTCTTACAACTAACTAGATAACACTAAATAAATATTTAACGTCCCACTGAAGTCTTTTAATGACTCGTGTGTTGAAAATATACATTTAAATATTATTTTTGTTTTTAATGTCTTTCATTACTTTTTATAAAACAACTTATTGTTCTAAAAATATAATTAAAAAAAATAAATAAATTATTTTCGATGATCTATCTAAATAATGAAATTTTTATATTATTCAAAGCAAGGGGAATTAGAGATTATGACAATTTTAATAATAAGGCAACAAAAGGGTAACATTTTTTGTTTATTTTTGGGGCTGGATTTCGTGTTCTCGTCCAAAATTATTTTATTTATAATCATTGCTGTAGTCGCAATCGGCTTTTATGTCAATATTTATATCCCCCACAAAAAGATAAATATTTTCTTTGGTTGCGGAATTTCATGAGATAATCGAATAGATTTTCATTAAATTCTAATGCATTTTTCGATGGTGATCGATTGAGAGTATTTATTACTATCTATTTTTGTTTAAATTTATATTTAATTTTATACATTTTATGTTTCTTATATATTAAATTTTATACAAGTAAATAAATGAATATATATCTTTAACGTATACTATAGTACCATAGTTTTGATTTATGTCCCCTTCGTTGAATATACTAAAATAACCCTTTATGTCGAAAAAGTCAAGGTCATCAATTATACGGATCTCTGTGAAAACTATAACATCAAATATGAAACGCTTTTCTTCTAAAAGGATATTCATTTAATTGGAATTTTTGAACCGCTTCGAATATTTCCACGAAAAATTGAAATTTCTTTCGTGTTTCCCTGCTCCTGTTCAAAAAATGTAATTCCCATTTTTAAAATAACAGTATTATATTTAGGATATTTGATATCTCTAATATAATTATCCAAACAAAATAAAAATAAAAAGAAAAATAATAAAATTAATTTAGACTTACTACTTAATAACAAATAATAATTAAGCTGACACAAAGCACCTTTCTTTTACTTCTTATGTCTTTTGCTTTTTTTAGGAGGTACGTTCTTTGGCTTCTTAATTTCTTCAAAACAGTCAATTTGTATTTGGAATTGGATTATCCCGGTCTTTCTTTTTCTAGATCTAGGTGTTCAATTGCTTCTCAACATTAATTTTTTTAGTTGTCGGTCTCTTCAACGCCTTTTTCCAATTCCTCTGCTGTGGAAAATTTGCTTTTAATTTCTAACGTGTTTCCACGAATTCTGGCTTGTTTATTATTTTGTTTTGCGATATTTAAATGTTTTCTTAGTATTTTATTAGCTGCTTGACCTTAGTCGCACAAATCATTTACAGTTGTTATAGATGTATCTTTTAGCATTGAAACATTCTAATTTTTTAATCTATGTTGATAGTTCCAGTAGTATCCCTTTCTTCGATTTATATTTTCCAGTAACATAACAGCTGATCAGCTTTGTTTTATTTAATGATGTTCCCAGTAGTGAATTCAATGTTGCTATGGTGTCATCTATTAGAATGTGTTTATTATTATATTATTCTTTTTAATTCGACTTTAAAGTAATAGATATTTATTTTCCAAACTAATTGAATCGGTCATTTGAGAAACGTCACTTGTCATATTTTTGGCCACTTTGTTTTTATTACAAAAATACAATATTTAAAGGTAAATTATAATTATTGTATTATACCCTAAATAGAGCAATTTTTAAACGTTAAGTGTACAAAACTATTTTTTGTCCATGTTTTGAGATTTTCATTTTTTCTTATTTTTTGAAAAATGATCTGAAACTGACATGTGCTGTTTCTCAAATAACCGATTCAATTACTTTCTTTATTTTTCATTTTATGTTAATTTTATATCTTTTAATTCTGCTAGAACTTTATCTATTTGCTCTTGTTGGCTTTCGGGAGTTATTCTAGATTATCAAGCGCCGTTAAAAAGGAACGTTTAGTTAAAGTCAGGAACAGCTCTAGTACCTACTGCTCGCGAGTAATCCAGATGACGTAAAAGAAATTATTGAGAAATTATTACCTAGGTAAATCGAATGACATTCACCGTTTGGTTCCAATTATTAATGCTGATCATAAAGTGACATTGAGAAACAGTAAAAAAGATTACACAAAACACGATACTTATTAACGTAGCTACGTGGACATCTTACTTGTCCAGGATCCGTAAGTATGGTCGACCTTCACCCATCTGTTTAATGGATTAAAGTTATTTTTTATTAAATAAAATCAGATTAAAGAAACGTTTGCAAATGTATGCAATTGTGTATTTGACATTCGTCTTCAATAAGCAAATGTTTATGAATATCTGTCATCAACACGACTTAAAAATACAATTATCCAAAATATGAAAAGAAAATGTATATTGTAGATTATTTTATAATTACAAATAGAGAGATTAGTAATCACATTGGCAAACTCTTATTTATTAATAAAATTTCAGCACCGCTTTCTTCTCCAATTTATACTTTTATGTATCCGTTCATATTTATATTTTTCAGAAAGTGTTTTAGATTTAGTTAAACTTTTTAGATTTTGTCATTAGTGATACAGGCTGAAAGAATAGAACCTAGATGAACTATAAATAAAATTGTAGTCAGGAAAGTTTTTGTTTCAAAATCCTGCTTCTCACCGACCCGTTCTGAACTTATAATCCCTGATTACTTATACTAAAACTTTTCGTTATCAACGAACCTCTATCACATTTACACGCAGATATTATCGCACGTATAATTTTTCAGTATTAAGTGTTGGAGCACATTGCGGATAAGAATGGAAATTTAACACGTGAATTATTTAAATCTACTCCTATTACCGTTGGCGGAAGTAATAATTAACGCGATTCCGTTCAGTGATCTAGGAACCTTTCCAGAAACGGCTTAATTATAATCACAATTAATTGAAACGAGATAATTATAATTACTTAACCACTCTTGTGTCTATTGAGAATGAAGAGGAAATGCTATGACGATGCTAAAGTGTCAAATTTAAACATACTATTTTAGCGCCTTATTTTAGAATAATTATGAAAATACGAAGAATAATCAATATATTCGTGTCCTATTTATGCATAGGATTACTTTAAAAAGGACATAAAGATACAGTTTTATCTGCTAAAATTTAAAAAAATGTTCTTGTCTTTATTTAATAAAGTCCCATGCGTCTGGTGGAATTCAGTATTTATTTTTTGCCTAACTTCCCATAATTCTTGTACAGGGTTAATTAATGAACCATTCAAAAGTGTTTGCAAACACTCAGGAGTCTCTAAAATATTTAGTTGCTTTGTGGGTATTCTCAAAGGTGGATATTTATTTTTAAATTTTAAAGCTTCTTTTTCTTCCTTTTAATTATTCTTTCTAATATATTTCAAATGTGTCCATAAGATTGATAATTTTATCAGAAAGTGTTTATTCTTCTTAATATACAGGCTCAGCAAAATGGCTTCTGTCAAACAGAAGTGTCCTCATAATTTTCTACAGAATTTTGTGGAAATCGGGGATATCATACATTACTACTTTTAGTTTTTATACTAAAGTTTTTACAAGTCACCACTATACAGTCCACTATTTTTAACATTAATTCTTCTTTGTCATGTTCTGCAAAATATACTCACACTACTAACACAAATAAATAAATTATTAAATTATTTTACACATGTCAGTCGAAAAATATGAGAATAACTTTTATGAGTCCGTCCCGCATTACGACATTGCCCAGTACGAACGAAATTTGAACGAAAGTCAGCATACCGTTAGTCTGTGTATTGAGAGTAGTTACTGATAAAGTAAGGTTTGTTCTACTCGAATCAAAAGTAGCGATGGATCATAGACATCAAATTATCTAAGATAGACTCGCCCTTCATACCGTTTTACCATAGACATCATATTATCTAAGATAGGCTCTCCCTTTACACTGTATAACCAATAGACATTATGTTCGCATGATATACCATTTTCTTATAGATTAAAATAGCAGCTTAAATTAAAGATACAGTTTTGTTACGATTTGGAACAATGACGAAAAACTACTAGACTAATCATTTCATTCAACATTAAGCCCTTATTTATTTCATATAAATAAAAAATTCAGTGGTTTATTCGGTCGTTTTTTTTTTATAAAATTTAAGTACAGGCACTACATATGTTTCGGAAACACTGTTCCATCTTCTGTTGCCAGTCAATATTTAATAAAATATAGGCCTAATGTTGAATGAATCGATTAGTAGTTTTTCGTTGTTGTTTCATATCGTAACAAAACTGTTTCTCCAATTTCAGCTGCTATTTTAATCTATAAGAAAAAATACAAAACGGTTTTTTAAATACCCTGTGTATATATTAAAACTTATTTCTTTAAATTTACATTCGATTCAGAAAATTATCCTTTTTTAAACTTATTTATTTCAATCTTTCAGATTATGTTTTATATTACGCTGACAGAGCTGTCGCATTGGCTGTCGCATTACAAACAACGAGACCGCTGCTAATTTGAGAAGTGATGGTATGTGCGAGTTTGTTTATCTGAGGACGATAATTACTTGTTTAGCTCTGAAAATATTAATTTGTAAATTGACAGTATTGTAAGGATAATAGTTATTTATGCAACAAGTGTGTAAAGTTACCCTTTCTTGACGAATGTGAATCACATGAGTAAAAAAATGGACTTTACACACGAGTGGCATACAATATTTTTTCTACTACCGTACACAATCCACTAATATTAGAAATTTAAAAGTTACTTTTTTTCACTACTGAAAAAAAGTACTTTACTTTACGCACTAGTGAAAAAAAGTAAAATGTGTCAAAAATTGTACACAGCAACAAAAATAAATTTATTGGAACTTTACAAATTTATAATTCTTACAGAACAAAATGACTAACAAATGAAGAAATATTAAAAAAAATAGGTTTTTAACTCTTATGAATATTAATATTGAATGTGCAATTATTGCAAGTACCAAAACTTAAGGTTTTGGCCTTTTCCAGCACAGAGTTTGAAAAATGTTGTGATATTACTTCTGTAACCCCATTTTAAGCTTCGAGTGGTATGAATTGGGCCTTTTCAATTAAAGAGGTTGAAATATTTTGTGTCGAGTGGTTCCACTAATTCTTCATTAGAGTTGTCAACGGTAAAATTGTAGCTTTGTTTGGAAGTGGATGGCATACTGTCATCCATCAAAATTTTATTAGAAATTTTGTTTTTTTGTGTTATTGTGCTGTCTACGTAGCCTTCTGCAACAGCAGATGATTTCCATCCTCCATGTTTTTTGACCGTTAAAAGGTCTCCTCCAGAATTTGACAGCATAGTGGCTGAAGACCTCCTAAAGCAGTGTCCTGTCAAAGCCGTTGGAATGGGCAAGTTTAGATACGTTGCTATAACACTTGGCATTTTACCAAAAGTATTTATCCCTACAGGCTGTTTAGAATATTTTCCATTTGCGAATTTTAAAAAAAATCTGTTACAATTTATATTTAATGGTCTTAATAAATTTTTTTATGAAAGATAAATAATCAACTGCAGAATTATTTGGATTTAAAATCGTAAAAATGCGTTCTATTCCATTTTTGGTTTCTGATACTTTGACAATATACACTGTTTGTTTATCTTCCACATCGTTAATTGTCATTTTACATAATTCTTTCCGGTGACAAGCTCCCACAATTCCAATTATAAAAGCTACCTAAAAAATAACATATTGTAATGTTACAAATAATTTATTAAACATTAGGAAATAAATGCTATTGTAAAAAATATAAAAGTTTTAGGTATAATGTGCTGCCTAACAACCCCGGTGGCCTGTTAGGACAGCAACTGATTTTGTTAGGCAACACACCATACGAACACACATCTCGTTGCAAAACTTTACAGAATATTTTAATTTTATACTGAGCATTCAAGCATTTACTGAGGCATTTACTTACTTTGATCATTAAAAACTTGGAATCTGGAGCTTTCAACACAAAATTAATTAGATCTTCTCGTTCAAAAATTTTGGATTTTTTTGGCGTATAACCTTTATTTTTTTGTTTTAGAAACGCTATTAACTTGTTGAATTTCGAAATATCAACGTTGTTTTTATATTTTAAGGTGCTTTTAAGCATAGAATAAATCGACCATATGGTAGAAGCTTTGCAATTCTTCAATTCATCAGAGAAATATGCTAAAATAACGTTTTCCGAATATTTTGTCACCTTATTCTTCCTACACCATTCTATAAATGCATTGTATTTTTGCTGATAAATATATGCAGATTTTTCTGGCAATACATTTTCAGTGGCCTTTTGTGCACTGCATAAGATATCTGGGGGAGTAATATCAAATTCGCTATCGCTAGATAAATTTGAATCCATATCGATTATGACAGATATAATAAACTGCAAATAAAATTTGAATTTAAGTAAACAAACATTAAAAAGTAAAACTTTTTACCTTCTCAAACTTGATTGAGTTTAAAAAAATGCTAAATTGGCTTTAGAATCTAATCTTGAACTTAAGTATACTTTTGTCGTGTTCTGTTATAAAGTAGGTACTAATTAAAAGTTTAGAGATTGACAGTTCTTCTAATCCACACAGCCCCACGGCCAACTTACTTTTACCAAAATCGACATCCACTGTATGTTTACTTTTAATTAAATTGATGACATGTAGGGAAAATTATAATTAAAATAAACTGTTGATAATTTGTTGGACACTAAATAGATATAAGCAAAAATTATTTATTTATTTGTCTTAGAAGGAGATAGCAAAAAATGTTAATATAAAATAAAACGTTATATTTTGTTGTTATGTACAAATTTTGTCAAATTTTACTTTTTTTAACTAGTGCGTAAAGAGTTTTACTTTACGCACTAGTGAAAAAAAGTACAACTTTACACACTTCGTGGAGTGCGTAAAGTACGTACTTTACGCACGGTAGTAGAAAAAATTTGTTAAATGAGGCAGCTATCATTTGAGATTATCGAAAAATTTTTCATTTGTACCTAATTTGATGATAGCCGCTGAGTTTAGTTTTGTTGGTTATAGAAATTAGACGGACCGTTGTATGGTGTCATTAGATTTTTTATTTTTACTTTTTTTAATGTTGATTTTTGATGTAATGAATTTTAAATCTATTGTCTTTTTGTAAAAATGTATTTTCAATCAAATTTCCAATTCGATCAAATGTTTTTCGATCAATTTTATGCCACCCTTTTAATTTAGCCACGTGTTTTAATATAAATTATTTATTATTTGCGCTGTTCGAAAGGTTTTCAAAGAAAATTGGAACAGTATAAATATTAAATAATCAGCTATAAGTTCTTATAATAATAAATATTTAATAACATTAAATCAATACTCACTTAGTTTGTTTTCAAATAAGACCAGTAATAAAATCATAAACATGTATTTGCTTAGAACTGAAAATAAATCCCACTAATGGATAATCCACTGGAAATTACAAGTATTAAAACTTTATCGCTTTATTTTATATCAGCACATTATTTTCTTTTATAATATTTGCATTATTTGCCTGACTTTCATATGCTCCAGTTTATTTTATTTACCTTTTTAAATGGCTTTTCATATCCTAAACTTTTGTCCCTAATCTACCTCCACCTAGCGAGAAATTTACTCACATATTAAGTTATCTGCATGGTTTACATGCCCTATAGTAAAAGACCAATTTTTGGTGTTCAAAGTTTTTGAATTTGAACTTGAATTGGACTATTTTGTCAATTTTTGTTCCAAGAGCTCTTGAAGAACACTTATAAAGTTGCTCATAAATTAATTTCTGATTTTGCTTATCTACAAATGTGTAATATGAAATATACTTAGTGGTTAAGAAAGGCGCTTATAGCGGATACTTTTCCTAACAAAAACGTTTATAAATTAGTGTCTGACCACCTTGCTTGCATCAAGGTAAATGTAACTAACACTGCATGTTGACGATGAATATTGCCTCTTATAATCTTTTCATAATTCTGGCCTTCAAATTCATGGTTAAACTTTTACTTCACCATCCAATTCAAATTCAGCGTTAAATTAAACTACACTTTTATTTTTAATATCACCTTCTTCATTGTATGTGACTTTTACTTGAACTCTGTCTGCAATTTTATATTCATATTCACTTTGTATACATCTTCACCTTCTCTGCTTTTGTCTCTGTTTTCAATCAGCTGTATTGTATTGTGCATAATAAATACTATCTATACCAGCATAGACGACCTATTAGGTCCTCCACACTTGCAGTGCATGCTGTATAACTGCGGTAGGTCTTAACAGAAGAAGCTATCATTCTTACAGACGATGAGAAGTCCAGCTCAAAACAACTACCATAATATCTGTTGAGTTGCTTTTTGTTGAAAATATTCTCGATGTATACGGGTGGTTAAAAAATAGGTATCATTTTGAATACACTATATTAACTAAACTTAATAGTTCACATAATGAAACAATAAAAAGGTGTGGCGATATACTCCACCGAAAGTGACAAGTGACTAATTGTGAATGCGCAAATGCAACTCTGTTATATGAATGTCTTTATCTCACCGGAACGGCGCCGGTTCCAAATAGAGGTGGGAGTCTATTTTTTCTGCTAGAGGTAGCTATCAATCTTTTGGAGCGCTAGGATGGATCAATATTATTGATAGAATCTGCAAATATCAAGTTAGATCCTATCATATTTTACTGCCTGCCTGCACTCCTCTGGCTTCCTGTCACACACGTTTTAGTTGGAATGTACCTACAAGAGTACCAAGTAAGATTAACCCATACTTTTATATTCCTGAGTCATACACCTTTTTTTTTGTTGAGGGGAAACCGCTTGGCACCAACCGCTGAGTCTATGCTGTTGGTAGTGCCGGGCGCTACTCCGACCAAAGCCCTTCTTTCACCTCTGTGGTGTCTTCGTTTCACCCTGGGACCGCCTTTCGGCATTTCATCAGAGTGGGGACCTATTTTGGGTTTAGATATTTTTCTATTTCAACCTTTCCTTATATTCCTCCATTTTCTGGAAGTCCCTTTCTTCCTCCTTCGCGTTCTCCCATTCTTCCTGCTACATGGCTTGAGTCATGCGTCTATGTGTACATTGAATGTTTCACCAATTTGCTAGATGACTTGCATAAAGTTTAATATCTTTAGTGAGATTTCAGTGCACAAATATTTGCGTTTATTCTAGTTAATCTAATGTCGCGCCACCTGTTAAATAAGGTTAGATTATAATCTTGACATCAGTAATTCTGCACTTTGATTTCCGGATACAGGGAGTATTCGGCTATTGTGGCATACCTAGTGGGAATCTAGATTCAATAAACTAACAAGTACCGTTAATTTAATTTGATTTATCCCCGTCTGTGAACCAAAAATATTCTATTGGCACCTTTAATTATTATTACTGAGAATACCTTTATCGTTTGTAAGTAATATTAGATGCAGGTTATACACGCCCTCTCAACCAATCATCTTATTGTCTAGTTTTCG